ACGCCCTAGCACTTACACAATGATCAAAATGATTCATGTCATGATTTTTTCGACAAGTTTTACGCTGGCTGTCGACTACCTAACGCAACCCTCCACTTTTCGCATCCGGGCTTGGGACCGGCAACGGCAGTATGTTAAAAAAACAAAATAAAAAAATTATATGTTTCTTGAATTGGTTGGCCTGATCAATAGATACATTGCATGATAGATTGAAACAAATACCGTACACAAAGAAAACACCCAACACAAAATTGTCAAAATCTAAGTCATAAAAATGCCTTCTAGACATAGGGACAAATATCAAGCTTAGTTAATAGATGAACAAAATTATACAATTTAAACACAGTTAATTTATTAATGATTCTAGATAATCAACACCTACTATGGCGTTAAAAATAATATTTCAATATTCCTCAGAAGGCATTATCTTGAGGTATTTTCAATTTAGTTTCATAAGTTAAAAAGCCATTTTTGGGAGGAACATGTTTGACTTTAGAAAAGGAAAAATTAATGGGAACTGCTTAATCTTTTATTTTTTTCAAAGCATTGAAATTAAAGAAAAACCTGCTTGGGATGAAATGAGACATAATCCTTAAGAACAATATTTACCATTCATGGATTATAGAGACGACCTCCATGATTAATTTAAGAACTTTAAACAAGATGGACATAGTGCATGTTAATATTTTCTTCTTTGAAAATTTAGTAATCATGCATTATCTTCTTAGATCCTATTAATGTAAGTTTTGTTCAATATCTGAGGCAAGTAAAGGATAGTAATGGCTTAATAACATTTCATGGATATTCAAATTTTTTTCCTTACATTATTCAATTTGTTGATCAAATTGAACTACAAGATGGGGCATTCCATGTTCGATTCCTGCAGCAATTGCTTAGTCCAAGGCAGAATTCTGATTTCAACTCCTATAGCAGTCACAACAAATTGCAACCTCTAATAAGTGATCAGAATTTCTGCGTGATCCTGTGATTCATGCCTCATCCATGGATGGCCTCATAGACTGGAGTTGTGATTAGGGCTCAGGCAGAGATTGCCAACATAAGAGGAAATTAGATTATTATAAAATACATATCAGATTTATGCTTTCCATAGTCATTATTATTTATTAATTATCTTTATTCTGTATTATGTAGTCTCCCTTTTATCTTTGATTATGTTGTTACTTCTTTTCTTATTTGAGTCCATTGTAATTCGGTTTAAATATCCATCTTTTTATCAATGAAAATTAAGTTGTTATATTCCAAATCTCAACATGATATCAAAGCATAACCCTAGATCTAGCAGCCACCGGCCTCCTCTGCCTGTTCCTGCAGCCGGTGGTTCCTTCCTGCCGCAAATGTTCTGTTGTATTCCAACTGTCGCTGATCCTACAGGAACCTACAGATGCCATTTCTACAGAAAGTTCCAACAAGTACTGTAATCTATTATTTCTATAAGGCTTCCTTTGTAGTTCCTTGTCGTTACCCAACAACCGCTTCTACATAAAGTTCCAATAGCCACTGTTTTATTTCTTTCCTACCGACACCATCTACCGGGACCCTATTGCAGTTGGATCTCAGGATGTTATTGGAATTCATCAATGACTCGGAACCACAACATATCCTTTGGCTCTGTATGATTTATGCCTGAACTATCCAACATTGAATCTCCTTCAGAAGGTTTTCTTGATTCCACCAGAAGATCAACTCCAACCTTCACTCCATTGCAAACCGGAGGACAAGAAATCAACAATTTCTTGATCACAACCCATAAGTTGAATGACAATAACTTTCTCCAATGGTCCCAAGCCGTATCTTTGTTCAACAAATAACGTGGAAAGTTCAGTCACCTCACAGGTATGATCCGTGAGCCTCCAAAGTTTGACCTAATATATGGAGCTTGGGAAGTAGAGGACTTTATGATCATGTCGTGGCTAATCAACTCCATGGAGACTTTGATTAGTCGTTCATACATGTTCCTTCAGCTAGTGCCCTCTGGCCGGATGTCTGTGATACCAACCTGGATGTAGAAAATTCCGGCCAACTTTATGAGGTATCTAAGAAGAATCGAAAAGCAAAACAGGGGTCAAGAATCGTGACCCAGTACTATAATGACCTTGTTGCACTTTGGATGGCGTGCGACCTATACTACGCTTACACTTGAGAGTCTCTGGCCGGCCTATCACTCTTCCAGAAAATTATAGAAAATGATTGTATGTTTCAATTCCTAATTGGTCTTAACAAAGACCTTGACGAAATTTGGGGTCATATTCTGGTCGGGATCCTCCTCCTTCCGCTCGCACTACTTTCACTAAAAATTCGTCAAGAAGAAAGCAGAAGACTTGTCATGCTCGACACATCTACTCCTTCAGCAGAATCGTCCGCCTTGATCTCAAATAGTGTTCAACCCTCGTCCATGTCACCTCGAACCGGTCACCCCACTTGTGATTACTGTCACAAACCCAACCACACTCGGTAAAAGTGTTGGAAACTTCACAGTAAGGTGGCTTACAAACCTTCAACCAAATTCTCTACAGTCAAGGATCTCACAATATAAAGATTGGATAGAGTTTATTTTACCTGGGTCGTCCGCCTTGATCTCAAATAGTGTTCAACCCTCGTCCATGTCACCTCGAACCGGTCACCCCACTTGTGATTACTGTCACAAACCCAACCACACTCGGTAAAAGTATTGGAAACTTCACAGTAAGGTGGCTTACAAACCTTCAGCCAAATCCTCTACAGTCAAGGATCTCACAATATAAAGATTAGATAGAGTTTATTTTACCTGGGTTCCAAGTTCCCTATAGCGGCAAACCCCTATAGTTAATTACATCTTAAATGATCAGGGTCACTTAAGAAAACTCTTGATTAAGATCAGTGGTTTTACCTTCAAGATTTCAAAGTTTAGGTTTCCAAAATTGGACATGAGAAAATCAAATAGGTGTGGCCCAAAATAGGAACAGTTATTAACAGGGATCCAAAGGAATGAAGAGTAGGGGATATCACAGGTCCAGGGGAAACCCCGGTGACTTCCCAAATATCCTATTGTTTGGTTTTATATCTTTAAAATGATGTTATTTAATGTTTAATCCTGCAATTTATTTAGAATTTAGGGCTTATGTTTGCACGATATTTGATCGTACAAATGACCTAAAAAGATATGATGATTTACATCGTACCGTACAGTAACCTCGAATCCTAAAGAGTTAGGGCTTCTAATTGCACAACAGGGTTGTGCAAAAGCTAAAGGTGATTTGTGAGGGTTTACGCTGCGCTAGGCAAATAACCTCGAAATCCTATGGGTTGTTGTTTAAACTAAAGAAAGTGATAGGTGATGTGAATGTGTTTTAATGTTGCAGATTCATCTTGAAGTTGTTCCTGTTACACTGCCCACGGTGTTCGCTCCAAGCTCTTCATCGTAGCAACTTCAGGTTTGTTATCAATCCTATGTAACCACTAGGTTTTCCTATACTAAGGTATAATGTATATCAAAGCAATAAAACATGCGGTATAAAAGAAGGAAACAATATAACATGCTAGGTGAATAGAATAAAATGCTAAGATAATAGTATAACATGTTGTAAAATAACATGTTGTAATATAAATTAAATCTGTATATTTGGGAGACCTGCTACTCCTTTAAGCTAGCTAGCATTCACTATTTAAACCTATTTAAACAAAAGAAACATTGCCTGGAAAAACTCGAGAAAATCGACAAATAATCCATGACGAAAAAATTTAGGAAAATCGGCGAGTAATAATTTAAATAAAATTATCAAAACCTAGGGAGAAATCCAGGAGAAAAGACCACGAGTGCTTTGTCCAAAAATTTCAATAAAACATATTGAAAAAATTCCGAAAATAGGGGACCGCAAGTACTCGGGTCGGCGCTAGGCTCAAATATAATATATTTGTACTCGAGGGACGTCGAAGGCTACTCGGTCACCCAGATGTATAAAGTCCGCCACTCCACTCCACTAGAAGGATATCCTACTAAACCTAACCTAGGAGGGTACTCCTTAGCCCAGAACCGATAATCAACAAGTGGAAGTGGACAACCAAGTTGTAATATAGACAACCAAGTTGTAATATATATTTGAAACTAATTGTCTTTTTTTTAGCATGCATATAGATTTCACACATACAAAAAAAAGTTGTATTAATTTTTTATAATAAAAATAATTTATAAATATTGTACATGTTCTTATCATATCTATTCTTATCAGTTTTGGAAAGTACAGTTGTCCACGAGTCGATCACGATGTCGAACATAGGACCACCAACATTCTAAGAAGGTACGGGTCCCCCTCTAATCTTATATCGGTGAATGATATTTTCATCCTACAGTTCATCAAGTCCTAGAATTGAGTCCTGATGTTGTAGGATGAGATATCATTCTGCTCTACCACTGGTGTGTCTTTGTCATCATCGCCTTCGCCTTACGCCCCAAAACAAAACCAAAACAAAACGACATACTTGCGACCTTGCTTGATAGTTTCACACATAGCAAAATTCTATACATGAGCACTTATGTATCAAACATAAACACAAAAAATCGAATCAAGAAGCAAGGAAAAAAAAAGGGATGAGAGAAGAGAAATTGATTTACCCAAAAGATCGAAAGGGTAAAGAGTAAAACAATCCTCAAAACTGTATCAAAAAGGTCTAAAAGAGAGCCCAAGATCCTTGAATCAATCCAAGAAGGATATCAATTTCTCAAATTTTATAATTGGATCAACCCATGAAGGGTATCTTTTCCAAGTCTTTGTTTCAAATAGATTGAAACGGGCTCAAGACTAACATAACACTATACTTATAACTCCATCACTCATATGAATTCACACATCCAAGTCTGAACATAAATATGATATTTATGTTTTACATGCTTTCATGTTGTCTTTCTAAACACTTTCATAACCTTTTAAATCATTTCATGAATTAAATTCATATCAACTTTATAATTCTCTAAAATAAGAAAAATCATTAAAAGCTTTTCATATGTCATAAAAAATAAGAGGAATTAATCGGTAGAGGAGGAACCATCACATGAAGAGTCGCCAGTTAAGGTTCACGGGTAAAAAACAGCAAGAGGAAAGCCCACACAGCATAGGCCCACGGGTAGGGGCAACAAAAGAGAGCAGCCAACACAACATAGGCCCACATGTAGGGGCAACAAAAGAGAACAGCCAACACAACATAGGCCCACGGGTAGGAATAGTGAAAGAAAACCACCATGGATATTGCCCTTATATTGCTTTTGATATACATAAGAGAGTGATGGACAAGATATCATAAATCATTAGGACCGAACCTCATTAGGTCTGAACCCACTTTCATCAAGTAAAACATAGTAATGAATTAATCAGCTTGTTTTAAACATTCCCCTGTAGAAATATATGTTGAAATCATGAATTTTGGGATGACAAACTTGATTACCCATAAAAAAAAAACTTAGGAAGAAGAGGAGCATTAAAGAGGTCCCCAACCAAATCATGCCCAACAAAGGGGTCAAACCGAGCCCAAGTAATGGACCAAATAGTAAGAGATTTCAGCCAACATATAACTCCAAAAGAAGCCCAAAACCGAGCCCCATACAGGGGACAAACCCAGCTCAACATAGGAGCAACCCAAGCCCAACATAGGTGCAACCCAAGCCCTCCAATTGGACCAAACAACTTCTAGCATAGGGAAAAAAAACAAAAAACCGTGGCCAGTAAATCCGAGCCCAGAAAGAAGAGCAAAAACAGAGAACCATGACAAGCATACTTGAGTCCAACAAGAAGGGACAAAAATAAAACGCATTTTTAGCTCTACTAAATCAGTTAAAGGAAACCAACAGATAAACCTTTGAGTCAAACCAATTCCTTGTTTCAAATTCAATTAAACCCCAACATATAGGCTAGAGTAAAAAACATAGCCTAGGCCAAAACCGAGCCCTCTGAATGGGCCAAGACAGAGTGTATTTTCATCCATGGTTTAATTCCAAATGAGCTCAAATCAAACCCAACAAGTGGGTCAAAACAAAAAGAATATTTCCAGCATAAATTCAATTCCAAAAGAGTACAAACCGAACCCACAAAGCGGGCCAAAGATAATGTTAAAATTTCAGTTAAATCCAGCTTAATAAAAGCTAAAACCAAGCCTTCCACATGGGGAAAACAGAGGGAGATTTCAGTCAGAATCCATCTCAAAAGAGTTGATACCGAACCCAACAAATGGGTCGAAGCAAGACAAAAATTTTCAGCATAAATTCAGTCCCAAAAGAGCCAAACCGAACCCACCAAAAGGGCTAAATGAAATGCAATTTTTAGCTATCATGAAGCCAAAATCGAGCCCTCCAAATGGGCTAACACATAGAAATTTTTTCTTAGCTAACATTTAATCCAGCCTAACCAAAACCGAAACCAAAGGCAGGGGGGCAAAACAGAGAAAATTTCCAACATATGTTTCAAATAGTGATAGGTAGCATGAAATAGGTAAGCATAAGTCAATATTCATTTTGAACATGAGTAATAAAGGGACTTGATAACCCATTCTAACATGCATTTCTAGAGGGGAGAATTTCATTTCAAAACCATCATTATGCTCTTCCAAATATCTCAAGCAAGAAGAACAAAGGCAGCCCATACATGCTATATTGTGATGTTTATAGGAATTATTTCATACTTAAATCTTAAAACATATCCAAATCTTATTTCCACATGAGATAGGAAATATTTTTTATGCCATCCGAAATAGTGTAAAAATAGAGGAGAGGAGGAGAATACATCTTTTCAGCATATTTAAAGCAAAGCACTGTAAAACAGATTCAAGAAAATACTCCCACATAAATCCTTCCTAAAGGCCTCACGCAAATAGCCACCCACGATTCTTCAGCTCCAAGCACACGAGAATTTAACTTAGAGAGGATTTCGACAAGGCCTCGCTTCCTAAGAGCTTTAGAAAACAGCAACCACGACTGCTCCACACTCCAAGCGCGCGAGAATCAAACTTAGAAAAGATTTCAGCAGAGTTTTCTTCCCTAAAGACTTCTCACAGTAGAAAAACCGCAGCCTCTCCTTTCTCTCAACAACCTAGAACCAAACCCTAAGAAGCTATTTTATAGACAGAGAAGAGAGGGGAAAGAACCACCAACCAGCCTAACGGGTAAGCGAATCACATGACGAGCCAGTAATTATCATAGTAAAGAGGGAAACAATAAAGCCTTGAGAAGGAGAAGGGTTCGCCAGCTCACCTCTTGCAATTGGAGAGCCGAAAAAGTCGAGGAGAGCTCGAGGAGGCGAGCTTCGTACGCTATCAGAAGAGGAAGAGTCGAGAAAGGGAGAAGAAATCGCCGCGTGGATCGGCCATAAATTTATTATAAATAATAATATAAATGTATAAAAATATTTAATATTTAAAAAATAAAAATTTATTTGTGCATTATCATTCGTGTATCAGATTGTAGAAAATTGAATGTCTTTCTAGATAATTTTGGCGTTCCGAACGCGCTGACGCAGTCCTTTACACCGTCAGAAGTCGTTTTGACGAATTCAACGGTTTGCGTGTCATTTTGCTTGTGTCAAAAAATATGGTATTATGGGTGTCTTTTCCTACTAAAATTGGTGTCTCGGATGCGTTGACATAGTCCATTTTGTTGTCAGAGGTCGTCCAGAGAAGTTCGCATATTCAACCATCCTCGAGCTCAATTTAAGTCCGATTTTTTGCGACTTAGTGAATTTCGTGCATCTGGTGTTCACGTATAATGATAAAGTCCTGAAGTGGTTTTCCTAGGGCTTGAGATCCTATTAGGAACTTCTCCCTGAGTCTCCACATGATAGTCCTTAACCCCTCGGCCATAGGACGATGGTTTAAGACCACTCAGGCGAGACATCACAAGAGAAATAGGAGGTGGCTGGAATTTCTAAAAAGGGTGGGTCCCAATTTTAGTTTTCTAAGATGGTCAATAGGAACCCCTAGAGCTAGATCCTAGGATTCTAAGGAAAAGAATAACGACCTCAAAATGAGGTCAAGAGTTACCTAATTTACAATTATAAGAAAGTTACTTTTTTCAAAGATATCTTTTAAAGCAACCTAAAATTTGTTGTGAGTTTAAAAAGAAATATACATAATAAGTTGAAGCTAAATGGAGACTTAATTTTCTTTTATTCACAAATTATGAATATTTTTATATTAGGATGAAAAAATATCATAACATATAATTAAATTGATGACAAACGAAAGTTGGGGAAATATTTTGGTTGATGGGGTCCTTCTTAAATAAGGGAACTAATAATGTGGAAAGCTGAGAAGTTCGACTTCTCTCTATGATGGGCTGGACGGTTGCTTCACAAAATCTTGGAAAGATTTGATTGAGGATATCTTTGGAAATACCTTTTTTTAGTTTTATTCCCTTCCTATTTTATGTTTCTTTATATTTTATTTCATAATTATTTCATTTACTAATCCAGACTCAAAATATTTGATATGTTTGTACATGTGAATAATAAAGTAAAGTATATTTTCCTCTCCATACCTATTTTCAACAAACAACAACAAAATTTACCCCAAAATGTTCCCTCTAAATCTAAACCACCCTCTTTATTTTTCTCCATATCAAGGAACCAACATATCTTTGATCTCCTATTGAAATTTAGAATTTGAAGCAAACCAAAATAACATTGTTGATTCTTCTTTAACAGTCAATGTTAATTACTCAGCCTACATTTTTTCCTTGCAGAGATCTTCATTCATAGTCTCAACATGATAAGAATAATCAGCCCAAAAAAAGGATTCTTGTGTACCCCAGAGATAGGGTTGTAAATGAACTAATGCACTTGATGAAGAACTCAAACTTGACTCGATTAAAACTCGATCATGTTCGTTCAAGTTAATAAATAAATAAGCTTTAACAATTTTTAAAAGCTTAAAGCTTAAAGGAACTAAACATGAACACAGTCGAACTTGTTCAATTATGTTCACGAACAAATTCGTTTATTGTTCAACAAGTAACTTGTTAAGTACTCATATTAAGCTCGATGATAGCTCATATCATATATAATATATTATTTAAACAAAATTTAATTAACTACAATATTAACTCGTCTGTTAATAGCTTGATGATAGTTCGAATCATATATGATATATAAATATTCGATATTTAATTTATGTATGTTTTAAAGTTGTAATTTTTAAATGTTTGGTTAAATCAAGCTTAAATGCTACACAAATCATTCTACTAAACAACCCCTATGTAAGATATTATAGAAAAATGGAGGAGAAATGAGATTTAAGATATTATAGGGTTTAGAATTTTTAATCAATAAATTAATAGTTGCGATCAAATTTGTAAAATCATTTATTGATTTTTTGTATGAAAATCTAGATAGTCATTTAAACTTTTAACTCGTTTAAATACTCGTTCACTTCTCATAAATAAAACAAGTATAAATCAAGTTCAAACATTAAAAATTTTAAACAAATTAAGCTTGAACAATATATGAAAGCTCGACACAAGCTCAAGCCGAACAAGATATATGTTAGTCTTACCCAGAGATAAACAAAACTTACCTTTTAATTCAAGGAAAAAACTTTAACATTAGTATTTTTTGTTTTTTTTCTTTTTGTTTTTTTTTTTGAAGTAAAAGAATATAAGCTCTTATTTTTTTGTTTTTTTTTTTTTTTTGAAGTAAAAGAATATAAGCTCTTATATTATCAATAAAATTTGATTTCTTAAATTTAATGAAGCTATATGTTGCATGCTAAATAATTTGGTTACAATTTCTAGCTAACAAATCGCTTACTTCAAAGACTAGAGCAACAAATCAGCTTATATCTTCTTGAGACATCACAACATTATCATACCTTTTGGCTCATATAATTTTATTTTCCTACTGAGAAGAAGTGAATTCGCAATTTTAAACTACTACTAACTCAAATGAACAATTGCCTGGAAGTATGTGTGCATGTAATGAACGGCATTTCACATTTGTCCTGAACTTACAAACCATAATTGAACCTCCCTTTCCGAAGCCCTATTGCTACCTACCAAGAGATTAACTAGATGAAGGGATTTGTAAATGAAATTTTTTTTTCAAACAATGGTGAATATATAGCATTTAATAATACCGTAATTTTTTCTCAATTTCTATTGATGAGTGTGTGCATGTTTTGGTGTGGAGAGGAGATGGTGCAGAGGACAAATCTTTAGCATTGCATAAGAATTACTTAGTTTTCTAATGTAATGTATACAAAGAAACGCAAAAATATATCAGGTGAAAAGTGGTAAAATTTTGTTTTCTTATCAAAATTTTAACTTTTAATTTAAAAGCTACTATTGTAATATTACAATCTAAGAAGGTAAAACAGATGTAGTCTCCTCTGAAAGATATTCAGGAACAGTTGACATGAATAATGCAATAAGTTTCAAAAAAGTAGACATTCAAAGCTTTAAAAATAAAAAATAAAAATTAAAAAGAAGAACTGATTGAAATTAAAAGTTGTACAAAATTATAAAAAATTAAAAATTAAAAAGAACTGATTGAAATTAAAAGTTGTACAAAATTATGTTTTCACTGTGTTAACTTACATGAGAAGGAGGTATATGCTTCCCACTAAGCAGGTCCAAGAGAACAGTACCAAAACTAAATATCACGCTCTCAGGAGTAACCCTTCCTGTACAAACAAAAACTCAATACTTACCATTATGCTCTAAAAAATTTCTTAAATATAGAAACAATTCAGTTCTAACGACTATGCAATAAGGACATATCACTGACACTTAAAAAAAAATTATTAAATTGATAATAGGCTGACTATGCTATAAGAACATGAATACTTTGCAACAATGAAGGCACTACCTGTCAAATTGTGATGCATTAAAGAACTTCAAAGGTCAAAACAGTCCACAAAAGTCCAAATGACCATAAGTTAGTTATCCAAAGTCAAATAAGACAGATATAAACAAAGCCAACTTTCAAATATTTTTAAGGCCATTATTATTATGGCCGAAGTTTTCATAGCTTTTAAAATAATGTTATTTTATCGGATTTTTATCTTCTCTTGATGAAAATAGATTTAAAATTGAATGCATATTTTAATTTAGATGGATAAAAATTTATATTAAGTGTCTAACCGTATACTTATAATCCTATTTTTTCATGAATATTGATCCATCATATTTAGCTAATTGTAATTGAATAATTTTTTTTTGTAGCAAATAGTTTGTAATTAATTCTCGCAAGTCCTGATCTCATTGGATGACTTGATTATCACTAACACTACATTAATTTTTCGTTCTCAACAGGACCCACCAAATGACTTGCCAAGCCTATGGCTCGTCAGCCTTGTTGCAGCATATCATGGATCCTATCATTGCCTCTTAAGCTCATTCTCTCATTGTGACTTAGCATAACTCATTGCATCAATAATTAATTGATTTAGGAAGTACAGAAACAAAATAGTGATTGAAAACAATTTGGAAGATGCCAATGAAACATATTCAAATAATGAAAATTATTAAATGTGATGATTCATTTGAAGATGATGAAACGAGTATGAATCCGCTATGGATATTAATCCTCATGTTGTAAGAAAATTTCAAGTAAACAATTAAATTGAAGCTCATTTTCAATTTTCATTTTATATCAACATTTAATATTGAGATTTGTAGCTTATGTCCTTATGATAATAAAACAAATCAATATATTAATAAATTATGCTAGATTTATGAATTATTTTAAGTTTATATGTTTTTATATACTGCCTTGATCCGACTAGAATTTCACACCTCACCTCGTTCAAGACAAAACACCTCAGTTCCTAATTTTGACTTTTTAAATCTTGCTAAGGCCCACATATTTGTTATAGTTATAGGCCTTTTATCACAAATTTAGGGCATGCCACTTAATCAACTGCCATAAGAGCTTCCTCCTATGAGAGTTAATCTGTGCACCATTGATTTTATAATGAATTCTCTCACAAAGCATGTTGAGTTCAAATATCAAGTAGATAAACTAAAGAAGTACGGATTTATTAAAAAAAAGTTCATATAAAAGTTTTTTTCTTGAATTATTGATGTTGGTGCAAGAAGGTTCGTACGTGTGTTGATAGCCAACAAACAAATAAAATCAAAATAAAGTATATATTCTCTATATCTACATTGAATGACGTGATGGCAAGGTCATCCTGCTTTCAAAAATGAATTTGCACAACAGGTACCAAAAGATTCATAATCTTCCTTGCGATGACAAAAAAACATTTAAAAAACCTGATGGATTTTATGAATGGTTTGTCATACCTTCTGAATTTTCTAATATACTAAGTACTTTTATGAGATTGATAAATTAGGTGTTTACAACATTCATTAGTAAATTGTTGAGAGTGTACTTTGATAATGTATTAATTTATAGCATCATCGAGAGCATCATGATTATTTGCATCAAGTAAATTCTAAGTTAAAGGATAAAAAAATTATACATTAATCTCAAAAGGTGCACATTAATGCGATTACAAGTCACATTTCTTGATATTGCAGTGTCTTCCAATAACATTGACACAACCATTGATTGACCAACCCCTACTATCACTAACTTTTATATTTATGTGATGGCTAATTTTGTAGATAACCCTTTAGGAAGTCCGATACGTCACTACCCCTTTAATAAATATTTTAAAAATGGACAATATTAATTAGATACCATCAACCATCAGAGTCTTAGAATAAAAAAAAAGTTATTAACAATTGTATTAAGAACTCTAAAACTCCCTAACTTTAAGAAAGCTTTAGAGACATCATTGATGCGAGGTGTCTCCCACTTATGAAGCAGACGCAGGATCACACGATCCCGTGATCGTGCATGTGTTAGGTTCACGCGAACAAACCAGGGCTGATCCAAGCGCCCACCTTTCGATTCATTTCTAATTTTTAATGAGTTTCATTCTTTCCTTTGTATTAGGTTTAGATTTTAGTATTTTCGCATGTTTATGTCAGGACAACCAACATTACTCTCTTTCTCCCTTCTAGGATTGTAAACAACGACGGGTGATGCTCTCCAGCTATAACTCGCTTGAGATTTCGGTCTCCTTCTAAGGGGTCGAGTGGTGCTCCGAATGTAGCTAGTTTCTGCAGGAGGTATTTATCTCAAACTTCTTCCATCTTCCGCATTCCACCCTTCGCTATTGTTGTCGTTCTCAGCATTCCACTTCGCGGTCATCGTTGTCCTTGCCCTCCACCATCGCTGTCGCAACCATTCAAAATTTTCTTGGTGTTGTTTAACACTGTCCGGCCACCCTCCATCATTGCAGCCGCCCCCGAACAGCCTCCCGGTTGCTTTTTTCTGCAGTTCCAATAGCCTAAAATGCCTTCCCCTCCCTCCACGCTGTCATCATAGTTCCTGCCGTCCACCTTTCGCCGTCACCACCCACAAATCCCCCCACATTGCTATTTTACCATTGTTTGACCATTTCACATCGTTGCCACAGCTCAAGATAACACTTTCTCAACTATTAACCCCCTTGCCCTTGTTGTCACCGCCCAGAGCAGCTCCTCATCTCGCCCTTCTGGCAAATCCTCACCCCCTTGCTGCCGCTCCACCATCCAAGCCCAACCACCACCCCCCCTCTTCTGATATTCATCCTAAGCATGTGTTGTTATTTACTATTTTAATGTGTTCTATGAGGTGTTTGTTGTTGTTTTCCCTTTTAAGTGTATTGGTTGTAACCATCTATTTGCTTTCAGTAATACTGTTTGCATTTCCTAGAGTGGTTTGGGTTAACTCCGGTATTAATCATGTTATGCATCTAGTGTTGGTATAGGCAGACGCCTTGAGCCAAGAAGATCTAATATTTGCATTTCCTAGAGTGATTTGGGTTAACTTCGGTATCAATCATGTTATGCATCTAGTGCAGGTATAGGCAGACGTCTTGAGCCAAGAAGATCATTCAATCGCTTACTCATATGAGAAATAAATAAAGCCTAAAAGGAGGTATTCTACAAACAATAAAAAAATTTATGTTGCCATTAAGTATTAGTATATTAGCAATATTACCTATCACTAAAGAAAATCATCCTCATTTCTAATCAGCATGACTCGACAAATATAAATATTAAAAAAATGTTAAATAATAGAAACGCCACATGGATTTAATGTCTTCAAGACAACATATTTATCATATTACGTACATATGACAGAAAATAAATCAGTTGATGCAACATCTGTGCGCATTATTGTGGCAAGTTTTGAGAGAATAAGAGATGACTATGTGACATGTGGTTATTATCACTTTATTTATCATAATCATAAAAAATATGTCGCATGTTCATTTTGTTACTTTTATAGGTTGAAACGGATTTTTCTATAAATATACTATAATGTGGATACTTTAACTCCTACATGATCATATTGTTAGAGAAGTGCATGTTAGTAGTATGACAAATTGCATTGATCAAAGTAAAATCATGCATTTGCTTGTGCACACATATTATGAGCCTTCATTTTAATAAGAAATTGCAAAGATTGCCGGTTAGTGTCATGCATGCCAAAGAGAAAAAATTGTTAGACAATGCGTCAGCATGTAAACTTCCCTTCTTGTTCCTTTGACTCCCTGGATTATCCATAAATTATGTATCAGCAATACCTAGGAACTAGTTTGGTTTCGGGGACTTATAAAACATTAATTACAGGTAGAAACGTAAGATTTGTTTCTTATTTATAAAAAAACTTAATAAAAATTCTCATATGCTACCATTAAGTTTCGGATAGGATCTGACGTCGAAATCAACTCAGATTTTTACAGAAATTAGGGCAAACATGAATATTTTCTTCAATAATCCAAACAACAAAAATACAAAAGTTAAGCACATACAATTCGAGAGGTAGGCGATATCTCCCAATTCCTACAACTCGAGAGGTAAGAAATCTCTCCCAAACCCTAAACCTAAGACTCACAATTCAATCTCATACATAAGCTTAACCTTAGACATAACAAGCATTTTTATACCCAAAAATAACAATAATAAAACACTAAATTGCTCTTAGGCGTACAAAAAACAAATTTGCCCTTAGGCTAGGCGTCCTTGTAACAATACCCCCCCAAAAAACACTTTCCTCAAGGTGGGAAACTCTAAGTAGGAAAAAATAAAAGTACTCCTCTTCCCCCACCGATGTCTCTATTTCTTCATTATCTGCTTCCTCGCTGTGCACTAGGAGAACTTGTAATCTTTGATCATTGCAACTATGTCCTGAAGTAAACTTCTTATCACACTGAAAACATAACCCCTTGGTTCGCTTCTCCCGAATCTCTGTCTCTGTAAGGCACTTGAGTGTTTCTCTCGGTCACGATCCATCCTCTGAACTTCCACTTTTTCAACTTTTGCCATTGGTATGGTTGCAGTCGTTCTGTACGACGCTCAATTTGTGTTGCTTCTGTTGGCTTTCTTCATTTCGTTGTTTTCCACCCACTGGGTTAGCTCCATCATCTCCCTTAATCTCCGTGGTCTTAGTAGTTTGAGTGCCGCCGGGCTTTAAGCCTTTCATGAAATTCTCCTCCAGTCCTACTTCAAAAATCCCTGCGGACTTCCTGACAAACAAATCTCTCCCTATATTCTAGATTGTCCGCTCCTGAGTCAAGGCATATAATTATTTGTGTAGGACTCATTTCCGAATGGATCGAAAACGTTCTAATAAACAATCATTAAATTCATCCCACGAAGGAATCGGGTATCTAGCCTCCGTCCACTGAAATCAGGCTAAAGCTTTCCCTCCAAACACAATCATGCCACCATAAGTTTCTCCTTTTTATCTAAACCATTCACCGTGAAGTATCGCTCCGACCGGTACACCCACCGATGTGCATATTCCCCTTAGAAGATCGGCATTTTCAACTTCTTAACTCTAACTTGTCCACCCCAACTTCTCCCTATGTTGTTTGCCTCTATGTATCGAGGGCACAACTCATTCCTTCGATCGTAGTCACATCCCCTCCCTGCTTCTCTCCCTTATTCTTCATGCCCCTTCAAACCTCTGGCATAATCTTTTCTCCATATTTCGGCCCAATCGGCTCCATCAAAAATCTCTAATCAGCCCTGAGAGGAGGTTCGTGATGGTGGATGTTTTCCTCCTCATGATCCTCACATTCGATCTCTTTTCCTTTCAATCTTGCCACGGAGTCTCTAGTCAATCTTTTGGTTATGGTTTATAAATTGAGTTGTCGGCGGGTTCTTCGATTGCATCTCAAGGAGCCTCTTTAGCATCTCTCGAATTTTTCCTATGCTCTCAAATCGGTCTTCCATTCTATTTTCCATGGAAGAAAATCTCTCATTTATAGTGGCGAACATTTTTTACCCTAGATCAAATTTGTCTAATCTCTTCCTCCTACTTTTTATCTAAATCATCCACTCTTTTTGCTACCATCACTCTCAAAAAATTTTGATCACAAAGCACGAAAACACCTACACGCTAAAATCCTGTTGATTGATTCGTGTATCGATATCACGAGAATGTATGCCCATCATCGATCTGAGTAGTGTGGCACAAGTAAGTTGGAGATCAGCGGCAAAGAAAGTTGCAGGTGGCAAGGATCTTTCCTACAAATCAGTTGCAGAACGTCAGAAGCTCTTCCTGTAGATCAGCGCTTGGAGCAAATCAGCGGCAGAAGCAAATCATCGATGCTTCAGGGAGGCTGGCCGGACCACGATCCTTCAGGGAATGCCACACGTTGGGCGGATGCAGAAGCAAATCAGCGTTGCTTCAGAGAATATCACGCTGGGCGAATCAACGATGCTTCAGAGAGGTTGGCTGATTTACTTCAGCGGCAGAAGCAAATCAGTGGTAGAAGGAAATTAACGGCAGAAGCAAATCATCTGTTTGAGCCTGCAGGGAGGCCGGCTGCTAGAAAAAGGAGACATCTGCTGGATCCAGAGTTAGGCCCTGATACCAATTTGATAAGATTCGACGTCGAAATCGGCTCAGATTTTAACAAAAATTAGGGCAAACACAAAAATTTTCTTCAATAATCCAAACAACTCATACAAATACAAAAGATAAGCACCTACAGTTCTAGAGCTAGGCGATCTCTCCCAATTCCTATAATTCCGGAGGTAGAAAATCTCACCCAAACTCTAAACCTAAGACTCACAACTCAATCGCTTGCATAAACCAAAACCCTAGACATAACAAGCATATTTATACCCAATAATAATAATAATATACTAGATTTCCCTTAAGCATACAAAAGACAAATTTGCGTTTAGGCTAGGCTTTCTCATAACAATATCATTAAATTCTCACCCTCAAAAGTGATTGTGACTAGGGTAGTAAATAGAAGCATGAAAATCTGATTAAGGAACATAGTTAGAAAAGGTCTTTGTAATTGGTATATGAAACTTCCAACTATGGAATCTGCAACACAAAAGCAGAATTGAAAATTATTTATTAATTGAACCCAAGAATGTTTATAGATTTTCTCTTCACCATTGAATGCATAATATGATTTTTTTTTTTTTTTTTTTTTTTGGGGGGGAAAAATACGGCTATTCTTCTTCCTTTTCATCCATTGATGAGTGTAATAAAAATAAGAATATTAAGATGAGGTCAGATGAAAGTGTAAGAAATTATGCTAAAGAGACAGTCGTAAAAAATCAAGATAAGATGGAAAATAAATTCTGTTATGTTTGGTTGCAAATACAAGAGAGAAACTAGCAATTCCAAATTCAAGAAGCAGAAGTTAATAAAGCCACTTCTAAAAAGGTTATTTGACTGTCCATCAGAAAAATGAAACTTAACAATTTCTTATTTAGTGAAGGAGGAAGCGAAAATATCTAATAATCCTAATAAAACCACTGGCATATGAATAGTATATGTATTCAGTACATTCTACTATAATAATTATGAATATAAGAAATATATATACATGCATATACATATATGAATAAACAAGTATGCATGCATGCAATGCAAAATATAGTGTTACAAACATTTTTTTCAATATATTGTGCATTTATACAGAACATTATTATTAAATTATAGACTTATCCATTACAATAATCTAATTATTTTGTTTAACGTATTTAATATATTTTATATGTATTATTATAATATATCATGTCAATATATAAGAAATTATGTATAAATCAATATCTAAAAGATGAAATATCATAATCAAATGCGCTGAACTAATAAATAGAAATGTTTTATTAATATTATGCACATAATTACAGCTTTTTTCTTTAATGAATTATACTATTTATATATATGCCGTATGTGTCTGTAAATAACATTATAATTCCTGTGGAAGTGACAGTATATCATTAAGTACACTCAAAATCATCTGAAGGTTAAATAACCAACAATGTTTCTTATCACTTCTAAAGAAACAATGAAGAAAACCTACTTCTCAGTTCCCATGTCAACCAAAAAGTTGAAATTATCCATTTCCCTCATTTCTCACTTAAAAACTTTTGCAAGCGACCAAATAAACCCTCAAGTGAAATGGATATGCAAGACTAGAGGAAAAATACGTAATAAAGTATGCTTTACTAAAGGAAACATATCTAAAATTGTAGAAGAGACTAACACAAAATAGAGTTGCCAACCTCACAATTTGACCCCAAAAAGTTGGTATGAGGCCAGTGGAATGATTAGCTAAAAAGAAGTTACTAAATATAAATTAAGAAACACATCCAATATTTAAAGGGGATCATGAAAATAATGGTTAAAATTTTAAAATTCCTGGAATTTATTACAGAGCCTCATCAATGAAGCATTCATTCATGATCTATGAAGACTTGTATAAAATAACTAGATAAGGATAGAGAACTGAATAGTTAAGTTTTCATTTTCTTAGAAGACAAGTAACAAGATAATGATCGAACACATCATCACAGCAAAAGTGCTTCTCAAAAAGTTGTAGCAAAAAATGGGACATCTAGTCGTCTGTTACAAGCAAGACACAGAATTCAACGACTAGGCATTGAGATTTATAGGATGACTACGTCTAAACTGGAATGAAATTGACAAGATATGAAATAGAACACTTGCATTCAGCTCAAATGAGCCTTCAAAGGATAAGTAACAGCTTTTATTTAATTCCTTAACTTTGTGCACCTAGTTGTTTTTGGAACCTTATTTTGAAGTATGTTAGCCTTTTGAGCATGGCTACTATCTGTCTTTCATATTTTTACTGATGAGGTAACCATGGCTACTACCATTTTATACTGGTCCTTGACATACAATTATTCACTATATATTATAATAAGTTCAGAATTGCAGCACTATGTTTATAAACAAGAAACCAGAACAACTAATCAAACACAAAAAGTGAAAATCAAACTCCAGGAAACACAGTATAGTAACATTCCTTGGCCAGAGAAATGAGAGGCATGAAAGACAGCTAAAATGATCAAAACAAAACTAGTTGAGAGTAGATGAGACAAGCAGCTCACATTTGCTTGTTTAAATTAAAAAGAATGAGAGAAATATCTAACAAGTCCCTTGATTATTTACAGAGGTTCATTCTACTCCCATAATTTATAAAAATGTAAATTTAGTTCACAGACTCTTCTAATATGAGCTGAAAATATTTATGCGGAGGACTATTTCAACTCCAATTTAAAGATTTGGTGAGAAATTTGGCACTTTCTTAGACTCTAAGATTAAAATGACCCCATGTAAACAATTAAATGACCTTTTGACACTTTATAAAGAATTTTATGCGCACATAAGTTCTATGCTTTCTAGTAGGAATTTGGAAACTAAAAAAAAAACAGATTTTATTGAGTTAAAAGAGCTAGATACCATTTCTCAAGTATTCTGGAGGCGTGTACGCTAGATTTGTGCTGTAGCTTTTCCCATCCCTGCTGTTTTTCATGAGGCCAAAACAAGAAAGGCGAGGATCACCATCCTACAAAATAGTTCATATTGAAAACAGGATAGCCAGATCCAATTCAAACATAAAACCGAAATTTAATATCCTAAGGCAACAACAAATTACTTCTAAAAAAATTTCTTTCTATGCTTTACAAATGGGGACTATCAATCACTTAATACATGTGCCTACATGGTTATAAACACTTATGACATGTAACTTCAAGGTCATATTACCTCCATCAAACTACCACATATAGCAAAATTAATGAAAATGTCAGGTTTCATGAAATAATTATTTATATAATCTTAATTTCTTATCATTTACATGCACATGAAGCAAATACTAATGCTTTACCTCTCTCAACAAAGTGGCAGCAAGCATGCCAACTAAACAAGCGTTCAAGGAAATTTTGATGATGAATAAACTGGCTCGGTTAAAAAAGGAAGTGGATTAGCCATGCTTTATACTTCGAGGGATTTACACGTATAGCCTGAATTCTTAGGTATTTACATAATAAATCTTTATATTTAGCACCCTAGATAAATCACATCAAAATACAACCAGCATTAACTTATTTAAATCAAAATACAGTTTTTCACGCATATGTTTTTATGTAAGTATGACACTAAGATACTTTTTAAGTAAATATGAAAATTTAGATGTTAGCTATGCAAATATATGAAATTTTAGTATTGTGTATATAAATCCCACTTTTATTTAATGGTAAATAAAAAATTAGAAGATAATAGCTGTAAAATATTTTGCAATCCAATCAGCAAACTTTTAGGGCTCAACTATACCAGAAAAGGCAATGGTTAAAATAAACAGAAGACAGAACATCAATCAGATTTAGATAATTTCACCTCATCAAAAAGAACTCGGTATGCATTTAGATCATGATACAAGGGCCGTCCTTCACTGCTGCAGTATTCCAATGCTTCGGCTATATAATATGCTACCCTCAGACGCATAGCCCATTCAATAGTTTGATTTTCCCCTGTCAAAATTACAAAATTGCACTCCATAAATAAGTAGCACTTGAAATGCTATATATATGCAAATTGCAAAAGCAATCTAAGAACATTGATATTTTTAGGGGAAAGAAGCAATGAATGGTTAAAATAAACACATTTCTTTCTAGATGAACTTAATATCACTCTCAAATCTCAAGTTTTTAACCCAAAAAAAAAAAAAAAAACTAACGCCAAACTATCTCCATCTATAATAATACCGTTCAAATATTAAAAAACCCAGCAACAACTAAAACCTATATTTTTAATTTTCACTAAATTTGTAATGGTCTGGTCCTAGTAAACACAAACACATTGGTTCAGTAGTTCATTTTAAAAACCTAGGTGTGCAAATTTTGTAAATAAGGAAGGTTTCAATAATTGTGAGCATTAAACAGCAAAACCAGGAATCAATCATTCATATATTGGCGTTCAACATCATCATTGCCATGATAATCAGTAGGCTTACAATGAATTCATTCCAATTTGCTTTATAATGCATCTTTTATCCAAAAAAAAAAAATCAATAAATTGATGTTCACAATACAAAAAAACATCATGGCATCCTCCTAATACAAAACCCTAATATTACATCTTCAGTCCTCCTATTCCACGCAAAACCTCATGTTAATGAGCAGAAATGAGTCCTTTAACTATAAGTATAGTTTTAATCAGCGAATACAAGATTGGGTTGAAGGTAATCTTCTTCTCTTCCCCCCTTCTACTGTGATTGATTCTTAGCAATAATGCCGAGCTAAGACCAACAAATCATGGGTTAGGTATGTCCTCACACAATAAATGCAGATGGTAATAGGCCAACAGCATCATACGGGATAAAGGTAACAGCATCTCTCCTATAAAAAGCTAATAACTTCATATTCCAAAATTAGCAGAAAATGGAGATTATTCAACAACTAAATCCGAAAATATAGGAAATAACTTACAGTGAAAGAGGTGCTTGGCAAGCGTGTCATTAGGCATGTACTCGGCCACCAGAAGCCGCTCATCCCCATCGCAGCAGTAACCGATCAAATTCGCCAACCTTCTATGTCTCAGCTTCCCCACTCCCCACGCCTCCTCCTGCAAATCCACAATTCGATCTCATTCACAGAGTAAAAATTAAGAAGATAAATACTCGACAAAGAGAAGGCTGTAGGAATTGGAGCATACGGCGAACTGCTTGGGATCAGGCCAAGCCATCTTGGTGAACTTCTTGACAGCGATCCATCTGCGGTTCTGTAGCCGGCCCTTATATACCAGGTTAGGGGCCTTCTCCCCGCTTTCCGAGACGATGTTCTCAGAGCTGAATCCATTAGTGGCGGCCTTCAAGTCGGCGAACGAGAACTCGGAGAAGGCCGGCACCTCGCTGACTGCCTCAGCGACTCCAACAGCCGGCGGTGCCTGCTGGATAGAAAACGATCGGCGTTGATTCAGTTGATGCCGGTTGTGCTTCTTCTCCGGAATCTCTTTCTCCGCGGACGAGCAGCAGCCTCCCATCGCCTCTGCGGGATAAAAACAGCTTCTTTTCGCTGCTACTTGGGTCGCTATGATGGCTTGCTTAATGGAATTTAGGGAAGATGTATGTCGGGATGGGCAAGAAAGTTGAAAAAAGAAGAAAGAATCCCACGTCGATGCAATAGCTATAATAACTCCTTTTTACTTCCAGTGCGTGTGGGAAAGCAAGAGGAGATCAAAAATCTAATT